GCCCCCAGTAGTGGTTGCGATGGGCCCGTGCGAGTTAGGATCAATTGCCCCCCCACCCTCCCTGCCACATTGGGCCAGGTCAGCACCTTCCTCCCACCTAGCCCACAACAGCTCACCAAAATTCTTAAAGTGGCCCTCCAACCAAAATAATTGCCCACTCCTGTTGTAGGAGCTAAAACTCCAGAAGCAGCAATCCTCAGCATTTTTACCCCTACCCATCTACTCCTCTGTCTGCCCTGCTTTTTCTGCTTAGCTGTACATCTATTACTATACAAATTCTTCTTCGTAGGTCCTTCATATGAATTTTGGAGAGTGACAAATATCATGCATGTGTTTAATTTAAAGATTAATTACAGAATGATTGAGATGGCTATTGGTTGTGTGTTGTGCTAAGGTAGTCCAATCACTTCACTGTTTAAAAATCAGAAAATAAGACAGCAGCATGAACGCTGCAATAAATAAGTTTAATACTTCATTGCATTAGGAAAAAAATCTGAATGTGTGCTTTCTGGATTTTATTTTCTACATCCACATGAGTCTCCCATTCTGGCACAATTTCTGGTTTGTGGAAATAGTGACTTGCTAGGAATGTGAAGAAATTATTTAAATATGGAGGCAATACCCAGATGTACATTCACTTTGGGTCCATCTCTTTTTAGTGTTGACGTAACTTACATGTAGTCCGGTGTCCTAAAGTTTTCCTGTAACAGGAAAGCATGCTCTTGAAGAAGGTGGTGCTGCCAAACTAAAGGCATTGGAGAAATGAAGGACAAGGAAAGGGTTGGAGACAGCAGTAGAAAGGTGATGGGAAGAAGTTTTCTTCTAGTTCTAGATATGATTTAACAATGTTCTTCATGCACATCTATGACTTGAAGCATTTGGATTATCCCACTGAAACCAATGCCAATTCTTGAAATATCTCCTCCCTCTCCCTGTCCCCTTTATAAGGCCAATATAAAGGATTTTAGAGGATGTGGCAAGCTACAGAGGGCAGAAATTATGTCCAGAAGATGAACTAGTGGGCCCTGGCACACTGAAAGGCAAGCCTTATGATCTACCAGATATCATTACCATATACGATGCAGAGAATGAATCTACACAAGACACTATACCACCATAGCGACGAGCTATGGTAATGTATCTCATTGCTATGGTGACATAATGCTGGCAGGCACAAACTGTGATGCCGACACTACTACACAGTAATAACGAGCTACTGCACAGTAGCTCATTGCTACTGCACAGTAGGGTCGGAAACAACCCATGCACCTCCAGGACTGTACAGTAATGGTGGTTTCTGTGTAGTCATTTAGTACTTGCTTTAGCATATTCCATTACTATGCAGCCCTGGTAGTGCACGAATCTTTTCCAACTCCATTGTACAGTAGCAATGAGCACTGATGTAACGATTTGTGCCTGCAGACACTAGTTGCTGTATCTCATTACTATGGCGATGTAGCATCTCCTGTAGACATGCCCTCTGTGTTAAAGCAAGTACTAAATGACTGCACAGTAGCAACTGCACAGTCAGGTGCACATGTAGACATGCCCAGAGAGATGTGGATACTTAGACTCATGCTGGGTAAAGTGAAAGCAGTCCTGCTGCTTAGCAAGCTACACCTTGATCAGGCTATAATTACACCAGCTTGCCCACATAGCTAACCTCCAGAAAACAAGTACTTCCACTGAAAGCAATGGACTCTGAAGTAGAAACACTGCTGAAGTAAGGGTCATTCACAGTCACCATGTTTTAAGTTTATGTTTACATTAATATTTTAACATTTTTAAATCTTGCCTTTTTATTTAATCATAAAATGTAAATGACTTTACAAATGTAGACATTCCAAAGTAATATAAGTGTACCTTAATTGGAAGGAAACACTGAAGAAACCTTTTAAAGGGTGTTTTAAAGTTTTATCCTTCCTCTTTTGGTGAGGAAACCATTGTGGGTGGGTGAGCGGATGTGTGTGCACTTCTCAGAAGATAACTACACCTTTTGAATTCAGGGGGTGTTTCTCCATTGATTGACTTCAACTGGATAACGATGTTAATGTTAACCACACTAGAATATTGACATTAATAATTGGGTGAGTGGAAGTCCCAGTCCCCCAAAATATTCCAAGGTATGTAGGCCAACTCATCCAGAACAGCTCTCTCCCAGTGCTATTTGTGTGTACAGCAATCTAAGCCACAATTGGCAAACACTCATGTTCTCCATTCAGATAATGACAGGACTGTGTGTATCTGTATTTTTATGCGTAGGCAGTCCCCAAAATAGAACTCTTCTCTGCAAAGGCAAGAGCTGACATTATCAGGTGCACAGGGGGCATCACAGCAATTGTGAAAGCCTTACTAGCTTCCCAGTGTGGCCTGTTAAGCAAGGCAAATTTCCCTGCAGATGTTCCAGGGAATTCACAGTAATTTCTCACTACATATTGTGCGTGCTACAATATATAAATAAGCTAATTCAGTTTAAAGATCAAGCCAGCCCCGCTCCCCACAGCAACTATATAATTAGAGAGCTTACAAAAGCAACTCTATAGTGAAATCTGCATTGAGGTTTACACACAGAACAGCACTAAGATCTCTTGGTTTCACACATTAATGTTTGAATTTAGTCTCTATATTTGGCACACTAACTCCTCAAAGTATAATTAAATTTTTTCTTTTCCTTGTAAACTAATTCTAATTCTTTCAGAAGGATCTGTACTTGAACAAACGTGGAGTGCCATGAGCATGGGCAACTGGTGCCTCCTAAGCCTGGGAGGGGGGTCCGCTAGATCGCTGAGCCCAAAGTTTCGTGGCTGGTGTTTCCAGGGGATGCATGGCCAATCTCAGGGGATGCACATGCACCCGTGTGCACCCTCTACACATTACCAATGACTTTGAGAGAGACCCTGAAGCCAGGGAACAATAAGAACAGAATTCTCAAGAATGATTTACTCATGATCAAGGCAGTATGACTTCATGGTGAACAGGATCAGAAGTGGATGGGACCTCTAAAACAGGGGTGTCAAACTCATCCCAGGCTGGGTCTGGACCACAGAGGCTCCTCTCAGGCTGGATCTGTAGGACCAGAAGCAACTCCAGAGCTGCATTAAGGCAGCAGAGTGGGCCTGGGCCTGGATAGAAGCTTGAAGCTGCATTTGGGCAGCAATGCAGTTGTGAGGGCAGGCAGCAGCATGAGGGTGCATTTGGACATTGGCCTGGAGCAGGGGGTGGGCAGTGATGCAGGGTACTAGCAAAGTGGCAGCATGGTGCTGGGGGGGTGTAGCGGTCAGAGCCTGTATCCAGGTAGCAGCACAGGTCTGGAGGTGTGGGGCTGCAAGCCATGTTTGGGTGGCAGCGTAGAGCTGAGGGACTGCTGCTGATGGCCATGTCAATCAGGGTCTAGGGACCTTAAATTCTGCAGCAGACCCTGCCCCCTGCCCCCCCAGCTAACAGTAGCCCACTGGACTATCAGCATCAATGGAATGGTTCTGTGGGCTGGATTTGGCACACAGGCATTCATTTGACACCTCTTATTTCAAAGCATTAATGTCTTTCCATCACCAAGAGAACATCCACTGCAATAAATGCAGTCTAAATGGTGTAAAACTAAACTGAGTGAAGCTGAAGGAACCTGAAGACTCTGGAATGGTATTGCTATTGTTCTGCTGCAATTTTTTGGCTATCTTCCATCACATAAAAGAAGAATTTACACAGGACAATAACGTGTGACACTGTCAAGACCAGCAAATCAATAGTTTACTGTAGGCACTGCCAGAGAAGAGAATATTTCCTGATGGAAGGATCTGAAGAAGGAAAGAGTAGCAACTATAAGCCACTGACAGACATTAGATTCTTTCTCCTGCCTTTATGTGGCCTTATGCTGTTGGCCATGAGAGCAATGATTAGGTTTAGAAAGAGGCTTGGGTACTATCACATTTCTGTTCCTGTCCGTTGCTAATCTCCCTTTCCTAGGGTTATAGGCAGACAAGGTTCCTTGGGTGAATTTGATATCTTTTATTAGACCAACCCAAATGGTTGGAGAATAGTTATTAAGCAAGCTTTCGGGTTCAAAAACCCTTCGTAAGGCTCAGGAAGCTGCAGCAGTTGGTGTGTGCTCTTCCTGGATGGGATGAAAAGTAAAGAAGCCAGGGGCTGGGCTGGGCTGGGCTGGGGACTTACTCTGCACTCCTGCCCCACACCCCACCACACATTACATAATTTCCCATTATATCCTGCAGTAGCCACAATTGCTACTGTTTTGACATATAGAGTCAAGCAAGGGATGAACAACCATTCTCCAGAATAGTAATATTTACTCAAACTTAAAAATGAGTTGGATTACAGCAGCTAACTGTACCCAATGCTGAGCATAAAAACAACGTAGAAACTCCATCTGGTGCTGATCATTTTGTTGCTGTTGTGGTGGTGGTGCTTGTTGCTAATGATAATACTAATATTATTGGTGGTGATGATAATACAATATTTATATTACAATCACAGTTACAGGGGCTCAGGATGGGGTCATCATTATAACCCCCTAAATGACCGAAACAGTCAGGGCCCTACATAATATCTAAGAGACTGCCTACCCCATTATGATCCCAAAGGTCAGCTGAGAGCAACTTCCTGCATCAGTACAAGTCTGCTTGGCAAAAATGCATGGGAGATCGTTCCTTGCACTTACTGAGATATTGTTTAGTTGGTCTCTGTTTTATTTTTGTATTCTGGTTGCTCTTTTACAGTTGTTCTGTTCTCTTACTGTAAACTGTTCCAAGCCTTTGTTGGGCCAGGTGGCACGTATATCACATAAATACATAAATAATGATCAAAGCAGTAATGTTCTGTACTATGTACAGAGAGTTCTTAGCTGGAACAGGGAGGAAATGTAATGAAAAGATGGTTAACAGTGTATAGTATAGTACAGTCCTATAGAATGTATAACACTATACTATATGTAACAGGGAGACATCACTCCCCGTTACTTGAATACAGCGAAGAAAGAAATTTACCATGAAGACGATGAGATGGCGAGAAACACTGACGTCATCAATCAGCGTCGGGAGTGCTTGCCGCACCTGAAAGACACAAGACATTGATAACTGAGTAGCCAAAAATGACGGGGATAAAAGAGAGATGAGTGGACAGTGTCGAGCCCCTAGAAGCAGAATCTGGAGTCATGGATTTGATGAAGGTGATAATTTTTGTGTGGAGGCATGAAAGTGACAGAGCTCAGTATTTCATGAGAATTGAAGGCACAGAAGCGTTGGCTGAAACCAAGGGTTGATGAACCCCAGCTAAGGTAATAAGAGATAATCAGAGACATTGTTGTGAGTTACCAGGTTAGATAATAGGACTGTAAAGACTAATCTAATTGCCTAGACCCGAGTTGGGGGATACAGACGGTCGAAGAAGCTGCTCTTTTTCTTTTCTTTCCATTTTGGTTTACAACTTGTAAGGGCATTGCTATGAGCTAAGCACGCCTGCAGAAACTATGAATCAGTGCATCTCTTTTGGAGTGGGCAGACCTCAGGGTCACAGTCGCACTAAGCAAGTTAAATATAAGACTTTACAACTGTGATGATCTCACAGAGTTACCCATGTGGGTTTTTTTTCTTCACTTAACTCCCATCAAGGTGTGGTAGGCAAGTAAGCCATGGGAAAAAACTCTGAATCATATTTTTCACCTTGACTTAGAAGTAATACTCGCTCACACTATACTATGCTATGCTATACAGTATGTCTAAACCTATAGAACAGAGATTCCCACCACTGGGTTGCGGCCCAATACCAGGCCACAAAGGGTTGACAGCTGGGTCATGGCATGAGTCCCCCGTTCAGACCCCCATCCACTCATCCAGGCAAGCAGCTTCTGCCACTGGCAGTGACATAAGGGGTTAAAGATCGGGGGCGGGGAAGCCCTGGGAGCAAGGCAGCCAGCTCCATGTACCCTTTCCCACTTCCATGCTGGTCCACAGGGAAAAAAAGGTTGGGAACCACTGCTATAGAATATATAGTATTATAGACCAGCTGGGTGCAGTTAGAATAGATTTTCCTGCTTTTTATTTTTCTGAATGATGTAAACAAGCAGGAATAGTAATGTTTACTGATCACTGGCTAGCCATTCCCAGTTGGCAGTTTACTGTAGGCATCACCAGAGAAGAGAATATATCTTGATGAGGGATCTGAAGAAGGACGGAGTAGCAGCTTTAGGCCACTGAGAGATGCTAGATTTATCATGCAATAACCATGTTCATTGTTCAACAAACTGAGATATGCCACATGTTGAACCAATTTATTATGCAATAAAAATGGCAAAGCAGGCATTGTGGCTGGTTTGCACCACACTAATTTAAACATGTGGCATAGAGCTCTCTGTAGCTCGTGCAGGCAGCCAACTTCAGGAACACCATTTAACAGTTTGGGGCATGGACAGTCAGCTGTATGCCCTAGCAGATACACAATGGGATCTGAGGAATTTTATCCAGATCCCAGCAATCATGTACCCTGCCATGACAGATCTTGAATATCTGGCAGAGCAGTATACTCAACTTTTGAAATCTAAAATAAAATTCCTCACATCCCATTACACGATTACCAGGGACCTTTAGATCAGTCCAAGAAAGTATTTCCATGTGAAAGAGGTGGCATGATAGAAAGCCCAATGCATTTATGTGGGATAATGGCAAATGGACATCTGGTGATGACACTGTTGGCAGAGTGGAAGGATTGACAAGACAAGCTATAAGGTCACACATACAAAAAGGAATGAAATTATAACTAGACTTTCAACTAGTTTAAGGTGTGTACATGAGGAAGGGATTTAAGAGCAGGGTGACAGGGGAACATCACTTCGACATTCTGATTCCTGTTCTAGCTCTGAATAGATGATTTGAAGTCTTGGTTCTGATCTTCAATGCTGCCAATTTTCTGGAGCCCAGCTAGCAAGCACCTGTCCACAAATTACAGGTATCTTTCCTTGGGGCAGTTCAGCTTACAAAGCTCAAAATAAAGCATTTGAGAGCTAAAAGTAAAGTATTCTCAACTGAGGGATCTTTGTTGTGAACCAACTTCTTTCAGAAAGTGGAGCAATTCAAATCTTACATAATACAAATCCACTTTTCTTTAATGCAGAATTCCTGTCGTATAAAGAATTGCAAAGGAAAAATAATTATATTCCACTGTAATGTGATATCTAAACCCCATATTGGAGTTGCTCTGAAAAGGTCAATAAAAGGCCTACCAGAAAAGCAGGTGCTATAAAAGTCTGCAGCCTAAGAGGAAAGGTAACCATAGATTGAGGGTGGGTGGAGAGAGGTGACTGCTCTTAAGAGGTACCAAAAGTAGCTCTTGAGAAAAGCTGCAAAGAGAGCAACATAGGGAGAAAAGCTTCCAAGAAAGGAAAATACAGAGAAGATAAGAAGCAGCCCAAGGATATGCGATAGCTTTTTAGGATTTTAAAAAGGCCTTTGGTATGGTCTCCCATGATGGTCTTATAAAAACCTGGGGGATTGTAGGCTGGCAGAGTCCATGGTCAGGTAGGTTGGGAACTGGCTGAGGGGTCAAACCCATGAAGTATTAATGGATGGGTCTGTATTGTCTTGGCAGGAGGTGGCCAGTGGTGTCCCATAGGGTTTGGTTCATGGCCCTGTGCTGTTCAATGTCTTTATCAACAATTTAGATGAAGATGTGGAAAGCAAGCTGGCCAAGTTTGCAGATAGTACTAAGTTATGGGGGAAAGTGGTCACACTAGGGGATAGGATGTGGATCCAAGCAGACCTGGACAAGCTGGAAAGTTGGGTGGAGCAGAACCGGATGCAGTTCAATAAGGATAAATGCAGAATGTTTCATCTGGGGAGAAGTAACCAGTGACGTGTATGGGTTAGGAGGAGATGTTCAGGCCAGCACGATGGCTGAAAGAGACCTCATGGTTATGGTTGATCATAGGATGAACATGAACCGCCAGTGCGATGCTGTAGTCAACAGAACTAATATCATATTAGGATGAATTAGCTGATGCATCATGAGTGGGGCTAAGGAAGTGATATTTCCTCTCTACTTGGCGTTGGTAAGACCACAGCTGGAGTACTGTGTCCAGTTCTGGCCACCACACTTCAAAAAGTTGTGGAGAATCTTAGAAGGGTACAGAGAAGGGTCACAAAAATTAAGGGCCTGGAGGACAAACCTTATGAGAAAAGACTAAGGGATCTGGGAGTGTTCAGCATAGTGAAGAGAAGACTGAGGGGGGACTTAGTGGCCATCTATAAGTATGTAAGGAGTAAATATCAGAGGCTAGGAAAAAAACTGTTCACTAGGGTGCCCCAGGGGAAGACAAGGAGCAATAGCCATATACTGTTAGAGGATGGTTTCAGGTTGGATGTAAGGAAGAACTTATTTATGGTAAGGGTGACCAGAATCTGAAATAGACTTCCCAAGGAGGTGGTACAGTCCCTAACCTTGGAAGTCTTCAAAGAGGAGACTGGACAGACACCTTGCTTGAATCATTTGATCTCAGCAGTATTTCTGCCCAGAGAAGGGGGGTTGGACTTGATGATCTTTTGAAGTCCCTTCCAGCCCTTAATTTCTAAGATTCTATGATTCTAGGTGAGGCTAGGCCTCATGGTGGAGTCATCTGACCCAGGAGGAGGGCTGGGCTTGGACACGATATATGCCCAGACCCTGGGCAGACTTAGCAGTAATATCTTGGAGGCTACCGAAAGAATACTGTCTCAGCAGGATGACTGCAGTTCTGAAAGGTCAGCATGAAGAATAACATCTAGAGCAGTCTGGAGGTTTGGGGTGAAGGAGGCTTTTGGGGACCCAGTGCAGGGTCCAGAACCTGGAGACAGAGGCTGAGTATATGGGACCTGGTGAGGGGTCTGGGTGAGCCCAGAAAGCAAGGTTGTGGGTAGGGGACCTATCAAGGGGCTGGGTGGGGCCCAGAGAGTGGGGCTGAGTGCATGGGACCTGAAGAGGGGTCCAGAGCCCAGAGAGCAGGACTGAGTGTGAGAGGGGCCTGAGAGGGCAGACCCATAGATGAGAGAAGACTGACGGCTGAAGGACTGACCCACAGTATCTCATTGGTCTGGGTGGATTCAGGACCTAGGATAGGCCAAAGGTCCAGGAGAAACCACTGCCAGACTGCTCAATCCAAGGGAGCCTGGAGATCTCACTGGCGCAGGTGGGGCCAGGGCCTAGGGTAGGCTGAAGGTTAAAGAGGATCACAGCCAGAAAGGAAGGGGGTCAATGGGCAGGTGGCCTAAGATAAAGATGGCTGATGCAGGGTGATCTGAGAGTTTGAGAAAAGGGATCTGAGAGAGAGCGCTGTGTTCAAGGGGGCCCAGGAGAGGCAAGAAATGGGGTTGGAAGCTGGCAGGCTAGAAGGGGCATGTGACATCAGGGGGGAGCCTAGGAGGGCTCTGGACAGTTAGAGCAGGATAGCCTAGAGACTGGTGCTGGGTGAAACTACACCCTACTGGGGCTGGTCAGCATGGTGGCCACTGACAGATGGGGCTTCCTATGGTGGGGCATCCTCCATGAAATGCCACATGTTGCCACCCCAAGGAAATCTGAGTATGGGGCACCTGAAAGCCTCAGCTCCCACTGCCTTGTAGGTCACCCTGTGGAGGAGGAAGCCTAAGGGACCATACCCTAACAGAAAAGGAAGGGAAAGGGAGGACTAGAAGGGTTTGGGGGCTCAGAGAAGGACCAAAGGAGAGACTGATGAGAGACCAGAGGGGTTTGGCAGCACAAGACAGGGCTGAGGGAGAGACTATGGGGTCTGAAGGCCCAGAGGGGGAGCTGAGTGAGTAAACAGAGGAGATCAATGAGGGTGACATCTGCGAGGCTTGGAGCATAATGCAGGGGTGGAACGGAGCTATGTCATTAGCCCATAAGGCATAGACCACAAACACCTGGTGGTCATTACAGTAAAGTCAGGGCAGTCTCCCACATTCTAAACAACCAATTACATCAAGATGATGATGGCGAGAAGGACTGCCTATAAAGTGGGGCAGAAGATTTTTTTTTTTTGCCTCCAGAGGTTTTATGGCCACCCTTGGAGACTGTACCCTGTGATACACTGTTAGCACAGTGTATTTGTGTAGCAATTCATTTGGAGCCCT